CTGCGGAGCAGCAGAAGCTCTTCGATGAAGCCATCGCAATAGTCAGGAATCTAGACTGGACTGATATTGCTCAGCTGACTGCACTTGTCATGGGAAGTGGTGACCTTAAGTTTCTGCTGGCAAGAGCAGTCGGAAGGTTCTTAATCAGAGAGCTAAATGCAAAGATAAAGTATGAAGAATAGATCTTTTTTGGGCCTGGTTTCTAGATTTTGTTGAATTTTACCTTGACAACTGTGATTCTCTGATGTAGCAATTATTAGGATTAGGATCATCACTGTAGCTTTCATTTCTCAGCTGATTCTGAATATTCTGTTTTCATTTAAAAAAAAAAATCCTAAAAAGCATCACAGTGGTCTCTGTTTTGTTTTAGAGGAAAGGAACTATTGAAGAAGTGGGCACTTAGTATCTCAGGCAATTTTTCACTCTTTATTTCAAGGCAAATCAGGAAACTATTTATCAGGTTTGATGTACATGGAACTTCTTGGGTGGAGGCATGTACCTATTTTCAGAATGGTAGCAACATGTTTGTGACAGGGTTTGCACACTGTTTTGAAACAGTTGAGTGCAGCCCTGTTCTATTGTGTTAAATCACCACAATATTTGCCTTTTAGGTTTATCAGAGGATTTGGGCATTAAATAACTGTTCAGCAGATTTGATTGTCTAAAGAACTGCTCAAGAATGTATTAATATCCTTCTGTTACACTTCTTTGGTACCGATGTGGCTGTCCTCCACTGTATCCCGTGTTACTGGAAACAGCTACAGGCAGGGGACAGGATCTAATGAAATCCATCCAGTTGCACAGTGTCCAGGTTAAGTATGAGATAGAGCCATCACCTAGGAAACAAGGTAAAGCAGTGCCAGCAGTTCTAGGAAGCAGCTAGAATTGTCGCTGTGGGGAGATGTACATACTTATATAAATAATCCATCTGTGATGGATTTTATTATTAATTTGGTTTGGTTGTAGATGTGACAGAATCAAGCTAGATTTTCACTGGCAGATAGTGTATTTTTAGATTTTTTTTTCTAACTGTCTGGTTTAAAAATGGAAAGCAAACATGATTATAAATAGTTATGTTAGCAAAGAGAGACTATTTTTATTCACTTACTTTATTATTTAATGGCAACCCTGAATTCCAACATAGATTAGTAATTGAGATCTGCCATCTAGTGGCAAGTAGATTAATTCTTAAATTCAGCCTATCAGGGCTGCCTCTGTGGATAACACAGCTATGTTTTTCTGTGAAAAGTCGGGGTAAATGAAATTGTATTAGATTACAAATATCAATCCACCTATGCCTAGAACTCATGTACATTCTCCTGCAAAGAGGCTTTTTTAAATGATCACTATCATAAGTGAGCTGTGACTGTACAAATTTTTGCTGCAGCTGCATGACAGTTTTCACTGTAGGAGAAAATACGTAGTCAGAAGGAGGACAGTTCGTGTTTTTTGTTGTGGCAGTGCTTCATAGATTTGCATTGCAAGGCAGGTATTTGCTATGAAATCCAAATAAGTTGCAAAGCAATGTAGAGATACCAAAGGTTGGGCAGACTATGAGAACTTCCCAAAACTTCTGTGCTGCTACATTGCCAGGTCAATCATCCAACAGGAACAGTGGTACTAAGAAACTATTTTACACTGAGAACCTCCCTTGACTGAATGCTGCTTTGGGAAAGGCTTGTGGTGCAGCCCTCTTCTGTGCATCAGTGTTGTGAGAATTGTGTTTGTTTTTCCCTTTATGAATTCTAGAATAGCTCACAGCAGATTCCAGTGTCTTGTCTAGATTTGCTAAATTTGTTCAGTCTCGTCCTTGAAAAAATCACATAAAACTTACTGACAGAATCTGTGTTTGCACAGCAAAATAGCAAAAAACCAAGCTCCTTTTATTGCTAAAATCAAAATCAGTTCAAACGGGCAACAAGTTTAACAAACAGGGATGGCAGGAGCTGGATGAATGACAGGCATTAAGTTGTGTGCTGGAGAACTGCTTAAATATTCACTAACTTCCTCTAACTCTGAATGAGCTAATTTATATATTAGTTGGTTAATAACATATGGAAAATATGACAGCACCCAGTAAACTCAGGGTGCTCTAATCCCTTTGTTTAAAATAACTTGTGTTTTCCACATCACAAGGACGTTGGAGTATCGTCTTCACTTAATCTTCAGTAGTTACAATGACTATTTAAAGTTCAACATTTAATTTATCATAAACGTGTCATATTTTTTGTTCTAGCCAAAGCAGATTCCAGTCCCCAAAAGCTGTCACACCACGAAGTTTATTACGTTACTACCTACTTAACAGAGAACAAATATCTTCCGTATCAAACAGTGAGATTCCAACCCAAACCGTTCTATGACCCTATGACTCAGTAACTTAGGAGACAAGATGATAATTTACTGATCTTGAGTTTACAGCTGGAAATGAGAACCTAGACAGCAGTTTCAGTCTGCACACAAGGTAGGGCTATTTTGAACCTCAAACTTGAGGTTCTGCAGGGTATTTGTGTCCTCACAGAGGAGGGTCTGGTGGCTCTTAGCTCTGATTGTTTAGTTGCCACGTCAGCAATAACCTTTTACTTTGGTATGCAGAGTAACACAGATCAGCATTACATTGGCAGTTTCCTAAGGACAGGTCCCTGTTCTTCCAGGATTGCACACCTGCAGCTGTGCGGGGCTTTGCTGGTGAAGGATATGCACAAACCTGAGTCTCCATCTTTCTTTCAAACGCAGCTTGTGAGCTGCTGACAGGAAGCTGCTGTATATCTGTCTGTATAGGGTTTCTGACCTTCTGGAGGGAAAAATAGTAGCTGCATTTCCTCTAGATGCAAGGTCCTTCCCTGCCTGTGCTGTAATTACCTTCTCACTTCGAACAAAAGAGTGGTTTGGAGATGTGTTGTGCTGGTTGACTTAGGGCAGCTTAAGAAAGCTGATTAATCTGCTACAGCAATAATTTGGTGGATGATTTGATCAGTAATTCAGCTCCCCCAGTGAGATGCTTCAAGGTGAGATGGCAGTGACAATACCAAGCTCCTGGTGGAGGGCTGTGAGACATGACAATTACCTACAGAAAAAATGGGATGTGATAGTATCAGCATTGAGTTCTTATTTATTATTATTTGACTATTTCTTACCATGTTGTTTGAAATTTTTCTAGTGGTGTGATACCATCTACCATAGTCTGATTATAGGCCACTGTGCTCTAGCAGAACTGCATTCCCCTTTTACAGTTTACACTTCATTGCTCCTTACATATGTGCTTCAGTGCATCGTGACATGTGTGAGTTGGAATGGCTGCTTTCTCCTATTCCTGATAACACCCATCTCTTTCTCAGGGAGGAAAACTCATGCTCCAGAGGACTAAGGTGTGCTAGGTTAGCTCTTCTTTGGAAAAGACATTCTATTAAATACACGTAATATAAAAAGCTACTGAGTTTGTATTTCAGTTAAAAGCTATTTGGTGTCTAAACATCATCACTGACTAGGTGATGATGGTTAATATGTCTTTTCTCCTTTTTAGTTGGTGTATAGGAAATCTGTTATGAAACTTGGAGAAAGATCTTGTGGAAGGCAGTGGTGATTGTATTATTCAAAGTCACTAAGCAAATTGATTTTAGACAGTCATACTCTCATGACAAATCTGTTCAAATGATCTGACTGGGATTGCTTGCATTTAACATGAAGGATAAGTCAAGTCCTCACTTCATCTCTCGGATTCCTCTTGATTGCCCAAAGATGAATTATTTTTTTATATCCCTTAGAATATCTTTGATAATAATTCACTGTTGTCTTTCTGTTAGCTTTTCTGTTATCCCGTTAGCCTGAGGGGCTAACAGAAGAAGGAATGGCATGTGTGATTTGCTATAACCTCTGCCATTGTCCTTGTGTTAGAATGCAGTGTTGCCTGCAAACAAGATGCTTGTGCCTTTCAGAGTAGGATCTTCTGTTGGGCTCAGCAGGAACAGCACATTCCTCAACTTGATAAAATGGGATCCCTCATTATCAGTGTAGGCTTCTTTTTTGATTAGTGTTTTGGTGCTTTCACATACCTATTCCCAGCCATATATAATGTATACCAATTTAAATAATTTTGTCAAAAATTATGCTATTTCATGTGGAAATTGGTTTTTTTTTTTTCTTTCTTTCCATTTTTGTATTACAGCAGCTTCAGTAGCAATAACTAGTGAAATATGGGCAGATCTGTGGGGTTTATGCTACACAGATGCATTGGTAGGACTCACTAAATTCTGTCTATACTAGCAGGTTAGAAGCAACTGCACAGCCAGATGGTGGCTACTGGTAATATAAAAGCAGTGTATTTTTGCCCCAGAGTAAAAGATCTTATGGAGAAAGCAGTAGCTTCTTAGGCTGTCATTGCTTGGCCAGTTGATGTATATTACTCAAGACTAATTGAATAGCAGACCTTCATCAGAGTTGGAAAGCTTTAAAAAAAAAAAGTCTTTATATTACAGTGAACTAAAGCTATTAGCCCCTAATTAACACATGGGGTTTCATCTTTACCTTTCTAGAGATCACAGAAATCTATGTATTTTTCAGGCTGCAAGCCAGAAATCAAACATTCATTACATAATTGCAGTAAGTCTAAGCTAATACTTCTCATTAAGTATGATTTGTGAATTCCAAAAGAGCCTAAGAGGTAAATACATAAAAATTACTCTGAAGTCTGCGAAAATGAAAGCATTCATTTCTTTGGATGATTGTGCAGCAAGAATGACTTAGGCAAACACGAACATTTGGTAAGGACATGGCATTTCAATATCTGTACTTTTGTGATCCTCTCAAAGTGGTATGATTTCATCTGATTTTGCTGCTGATCTTTCAGCAAAGATAATGTTCTAGCCAGAGAATCAACCAGTGCAGGCAGAATCAGCTTCCCATGGATCAACATTCCCTTGGAGCTGCAGGAGATGGGATCTGCCATGATGCAGTATGTGAGCCAGTGGATAAAACCTATTTTAGTTTTAGAATTACAGGTAAGCACATATCTTCTGATATTTGTGTGTATTTCCTGCATGAATTGTTCTCACTCAGCTAACTGTGCCAGTGTACAGTAACACTCTGAGGGAAATATTTCTGGCATCTCTGATACTGATGGAAGTTTTCTGCATGATGACAGGCACCTTTGAGTTTAGACTTCTGTTTGCATTTAATCAAATCTTTCAAGCTCTAAGAATCTTTAGGCCAAAATTAGAGGGGATCTGATTTTTCTTCCTTGCCCTTCCAGGTTAATTTTAAGCCTAGCATTAATAGATTTTCCAAAGTCATAAATTGAAGACTTGCTCCCTGTAGAGTGGTGAAGAAAAGATGCAACAGCTGAATGTGGTAGTTGGGCTTGGGACAGATGGCATGCAAGAGCAAATGTTCCAAGGTAGTTCAGAAGGGAGGAGACTGGACAAAACTGTTTAGCAAATATTGTGTTAGAACTAAAGACTTGCTGAAGTATCCATAGGAATGCCAAAGTAGAGCACACTTTTTTACCAAACTGCAGTTTATTAATTGCTTGTGCAGGAGCAAAATCTGTAATAAAATACTAAAGAGGGAGATGGTAAAGCAGGGCCTTGAATCTGTTTTTGTTGGTTTCCGTAAAAGGGGCTTGCTTGCTTTTTCCTGGCATTCTCTCCAAGAATTTATATAGAAAATATTTTTTTCCATAACCGCAGTGAACAGCCTTCAATTGTCTGGCAGCCGTTTGCATACTTGAGGTTTCCTTCCCTCTCTGAAGTTTAACTCTGCAGGAGCTTGTGCTGCTGCCGAATTGGATCTTTCTTCTGGTCTTTTGTGTCCCTAGCCCAGGTTCTGTGGAAGTTGGACTGTTGAAAGTGGCTGCAGCATGTCTCACTTGAGTAAAGGGCAAAGATGAGCCTCAGTATTGTAGTGCTAATAAGTAGCAGTGAGAATAAAATGGAGTACTCCTGTAGCTCTTTACATCTTCAAAGTGCTCCACTGATACTAATTAATCTGCCCAAGTAGCCTTGTGACAAAGGTATGTGTTTGTACTATATGTGATTTAACTCTTCTATATTGTTCTGCAATAAAAAAAACCTGGATGCTTCTTCAGATAAAAATCAGGAAATCAGTTAACCAACCTCAGCAATTAAGGCGAACTTCAAAGCTATCTCACTTCTTTTGGTTAGCTTTAGCATACTTTTGGGAACCTCAAGTATTTGTGCAAAGCAGCATGGTGTCAAGCATTCAGCGGAGTGGCCCCAATGTTATGCAATAGTTTGTTTCCATTTATATACACCAGTGTGTATGGCTTTCACCATTTCTTAACCCAACGCAGAGGATGTGGTCCCAGTGCCACTGGAACCAAAGTTAAACCTGGGCGCCGTGCTGGTCTTAATTGAAGAGCCCCAGTTTGTGTGCTGCTGGTGCCCTGCCGTCCTTAATATATTGTATGTGTACACTGCCACAGCAGAAAACAAACTCATGCTGTGTGTAGCTGCAGTGCTGGCATGTCAAGGAAGAACACATAAGCTCTGTTATAACTGCAGGATTTCAATGCCTTTCTGTGCAGTTAAGTCATCTGCTCCCAGTACTCCAGTGTCTGCCGTCTTCTGTCTGCATCTACTGCTAGCTTGAACTTGAGCAAGTCATCAGTAGAAAGGTGGATATTGCTTAGAAGAAAGATCACCCTGACTGTATAGTCCTAATGCTGAGCTCTGAAAGACCTATTTCCTCTCAGGAAAGGGTTTGAGGTCACTGTGGACAGATTTCTGAAAATACAAGCTCAGTGCTGTATTTTCAGCAGATCAGAAGACAAATAGAGGGGTTGGAATGGACAAGAGGGGTTGCTATGTCACTGAATGGATCCAGTTTACAACCACATCTTGAGTCTGCTTGTCCCATTCTCATCAGTCCTTTTTGAGCCCAAAAGAGCAATTGTAGAGCTAGAAAAGATTCAGAGGATGACGTGGTATGGAGGTGCATCTGTATAAAGAGAGACTGATTACTTGAAAACAGTTCAACCTGGAAAAGATACCAATGGAGGGAACTTTAGTAAGGGCTATGAATGGCACACAGAAGAACAACAAGAGCAATAACGTTGCATAGAAGTCAGGGTGTACCCTTTGAAACGATTGAGGTAAAAGGAAGTGCTTTTTCACAGTGTTAAAAGAGAACTGTGCAGCAAATTGGCACAGGATGTTCTGGATGCCAAAACAGAAATGTGTTCAAAAAGTGATTAGACAGATTAATGGTAGAGAGGGCCAGCAAGGACTATTAAACACACTACCCCAGAATCAGCTGCTGGTTTGCAAGAGATAAAAGAGAGAAATATCAGTCTAACCTAACCACAAGGGTGCTTGTTACACTTTCCCTAGCAATTTTCAGGTAGGTGACTTGTGGCTCTGGTTTATTAAGGCTACTTATGTATGTTATGCCAAACACAGTCTAGCATACAATTTTTGTAGTGTTGTGCCAAGATATGTGCTACTGCAAGTAAAACATGACATGTGCTGCCAAAGCAATCACATTCTGAAAACAGTGCAGCACACTTCACACTGTACAAAATCTTTTTCCTTTAAGAGGGGAAGACCTGCCCACCTGCCTTTGTGTGTGTTATCCCTTCTCAGGAGTGGAGCCTTCCTCTCTGAAAATTTCCAGTGTGTAAGTAAGCACTTCAGCAAACCAGAGGAAAACCTGACCTCTCTCTGTTGATTGCAACCGGATGTTTCATTTTCTCAAAATTACAATTTCAACTTAAGAATTAATCCAGATGTTTTTATTCCTTGCACCAATAAGAAAATGCATCCGTGGCACTAGAATCTAAAAACAGACAATATTTATCAAGAAACAAAACTCATTCATACTCAGGTTCAGTAGAAGTTTCATTAAAATATTGTCCTTGTTCTGTTCTGCAGAAGGGAAAGTGGTTTTACACAGAGATTACGTGAGCCCTGCACTGATCTAACAGTCCTGCGCTTCTTTTTGAATGTTTGACTGTTGTCACAGAACTGAAGTTGATGTAAGTGCTGTCTTGTTATTCTTCCCGAAACTGTAGCAAACTGTCAGTTTGCAGATACAACTGCGTGAGGTTTGTTCAGTTACAGCATTCTGCCAGATGCTAACTTCCTTGAGCACAGTGTATTCTCCACATTCCAGCACACATTCCAGGGGTTGTAGTTGTGCAGAGTTTGGCTCCAGGAAAGTTCAGCCTCCAAAACACGAGAGAGAAATTCTACTGGGGGAGTGGGAGGGAGAAAGTTCAAGTGCTGCTGGGCGGGAGACAGAGCTTTACTGGAAGTGGATCAGTCTGGTCTGGTCAAAACAGCTGCTATGACCACATCTGGCTCTTCATCTGCCTTTGGAAACGTGTCTCGTGGGAGCTTTGTGGCTCACACTCACTTTAATGACTGGATTCTCTGCTTGCTTCCAAGATAGGTCTCCTCCCCATCTCCCACGTGGAAGAGAAGCTGCAGTCCTCATGGGCTCCCTGCATGGCTCAAGAATTTCCCAGATGATTCTCCAGAGTGGTGAGGATGTTGAAACTGAGGAAGTTGTGTTGAGGATTAACACTGTTTTACCAGGATCTGTCTCTAAATTGTAATGTGTAAAATAACAAGCATGTATTTTAGAATTGCTGCTGTGATACAGTCGTGTGCTAGATTTTGGTTATTGCGTGTCCCTGAGGAGAGAAAGAGAATGTCAGCTAAAATATTAAATGCTTTGTTAGTGATTGCCAGCATGCTTGAAAAGCTGAGGCTCATGGAAGGAGTGGGTTTTCAGCAACAGGGCCACACTATGCAAGACTACCCTGCTCTGGTGGTTACACTAGCTGTTACAAATCCTGCTCTAATGAGGGTAACATGCCTAGGGGATATAAATAGAATAAACCTGCTGTGCTCACATATTAGAAGCCTGTAACTCAGTGGCTCTGTCATATACATGAATTATGTAAGTGCCATTTTGGAAATCATCGCCTCACTTCTGACTGCTCCATGACAGGAAACAAACTCCATGGGTGTGTAGGAGTCCTGCAGGCCTCCTGCTCCTGTCTGCTTCATGGACTGGGCTCTTGCCATAAGACTTTGCATCTCTCTTTGTACCTCCTGCTTTGTTTTTATTGCAAGGGAGCAAGATAGAAAAGAGCCTGTGCAGCTCTATAAATGAGGGCAAATAATAAGCAGATACAGAAGCTCTGTGATTTGGTGGGAGTATCTGTAACAAAGCTGGGGCTATGAAACTGGCATTTCTAGTGTCTGCTTTGAACCAATTTTATTCCACTGTGGAACAAAGAATTCATCTTTTTCTATGGAAAAGATGGCAGTATTAGGAAAATCCATGCTGTACATTTACTGATAGCGTTATTCTATCATAGCATTAACTGCTGTATTATAGCAGCAGAGGTACTTCTGAAGTTTTGAAACAGCAAAGTGTGACAGCCTCTATCTGTCACCCTTCACTAATCAACACTGTAGCTCTTTACCATCTGGGTTTTAGAGAATCTCTCATAATTTAGGCTCCATCCTTGCAAACAGATGGCCACATTGTGTGATGTCCCTGCTGAAGTGCCTGCTGGGATCTATACAGACCTGTTGGGACAGATGCATGGGTTTGCTCAGCCTGCTGGCATGCACGTCTTGCACTTATGTGGAAGGTGGTTCTAAGAGAAAGAACAAACATGGAGGCTGCCTGATACCCTGTAGGCCAAGCCCTTCCCCAGCCACAGCACCAGTGCCGGTGCTGGCTCATCTCTGTCTGGGGTTGGGGGTGAACAAGCAAAGGCCCGCAGGCTAAGAAAGCCATGCTCTGTGAAATCTAGCTGGGCTGCTTGGTTTCTAGAGGCTGGTCAGTAAACAAGATTGCTTGAGCCCATTTTGAGGTGCTAGAAACTGGTTTATCTGAAACCTGCTGCTGAGTAAACATTCTTCAAGTCAGAAACTGATGAAAACAAAACAGTGACTTGGGTGCAGTGAGCTGGGCGCTGGTTGTTCTGGTGTGTGTTTCTGTGTTGCCAGCTTGCACTGCAGTATCCAGGCCATTCAGGTGGTCTGGACAGTCGCTGGGTGCTGCTGTCAGTGGTGCTCAGGCAGCTGGGGCAGCACTGGAGGCAGCGTGTCACACGTGGCCTGTCACTGCTGGGGCAGGCAGTAAGCAGGCTCTGGCAGCTCGCGCTCACCCCAGCTGATCTCAGCCAGGCTGCAGCTCAGCCGTGTGCCTGAAGACGGGCTGTGGGGATGTGCCATGAAGATGGTCCCTCTGGCTTTCATGGGAGAAGGAACAGATCTGTTGAGAGGCCGTGGTGCCACCCTTACTTTCCGTCTGGTATCTCTGGAGGAGCCTTCATGTATGAAACCACTAAGGCATCTGCTTTTACCTTATATCAATGCATCTATGATAAAAGCCACGTGTGACCTTTTCTTCTTTTTTAGAGGAAGAGGCCCATCTGGCCTTGAGTTAATGCTTTTCCTTTCTCAAATCCTGTTTTTCTAAGCGTCTCACCAAAAAACTCAGATTGTTTTTAGGACAAATATCTAGAGACCAACTCTGCTCTGATGAAATAGGAACCAAAACTTCCCTCAGTGCCCAGCGGCCACACACAGCTGGCACCAGCAGCACTGTGCCCATTGCCCAGCCCTGGGCTGCACAGAAGTGCTGTGAGAGCTCTGGCTCTGACTGATAGAACAGCGACAGGGAAATTGTGTAACATGCCATAGGCTGGGAGAGTCTGAGAGGTTAACAGAGAATCTGCTTATGGTTTGTTGTCACTGCCAGGTCTTGCTGGAAAGGAAGCCCAGCACCACCTTCAAAGGGAGCACCAAAGGTGCTACTGAGTGTTTGGTACCGTTTCCCTGCATGCGTCTCCTTCAGCTGCTGTCTCAAGAACGCAGCATCGAGTGCTGCTCTGAGGTTTTATGAGCAAGTGCAGAGGCAGGAAAGGCTCTTTCTCATATATGCTGCACCATGATTTCTGTGTGTGATGTACGGTGTAGAGCAGTCCTGGCTGTTTGCTGCACCCCTGGTGCACAGCATTACTGGGAGAGCCCCTCCAGCATTCCCATCTCGGGTGGCTGGACAAGAGTTTCTTGGAGTTACTTTCTGATACTGTGTCCGCTGTGTAAATAACAGTAAGCATAGAGTGGTGTCCTCTCTGCTATCACCTTTCTTAAAAATCCAAGGCTTGGAGCAAAAACAGCCAGAAGTAGGAGCCTCTGTTTTTAGTTTGAGACATGTCTCTTTAAAGCTCTGCTGTGGTTGGGTCCATCTGTGCTTGTTATTCCTTTGCTAACCAAAAATCCCAAGCTGAGGATAAACTGCTTTGCAGTTGTAGTGAGATAGAAGAGGCCCTGGGCTGTGGCAGAGCCAGAACTTCTGCTTGGGATAAAAACTATTTGAGTAACTTGGAACTGTAGAGCTGGCTCACTTCACTGTGCTGCCTTCAGATGGCTGGACATTGTGCTGAGTCAGCAGTGTGCTCCACAGCTTGTGGTGTTCCTTGGCTGTGCCTCAGGCAGGAACATGCCTTTCCACTGAAGCCCTTCCATCCTTTCTTTTCAGTTTACTCACAGATCACATTTCCCTGCTAACTTTTATTCTGCTTTTGTGACTGGCTGCTGTGGCAGTGTCTCTTCTTCCTTCCCAGGAATTGTGGAGGGCTAATATGGATTTCGTCACAGCAATGCCTTTATCTCTGATTGCCTGTCACTGATGGAGAAACCCCAGCAGCTTCAGTAGGTCTGGTAACATTCCAGTTTTGTTTCCCTTGTTCCATGCACACACGTTCTTCTTGCTCCTAACAGCTATGGGGACTGTCCTCTGACTCATGTGCCCAGCTGCAAAGGCAGGGATTTTGCTGAGTGCCAAAAAGCTCTTGTGTTTCTCCTACAGTGACTGGGTTCCAGGTTCTGCTCAAAGGAGCAGAAAGACCCAATTTCAGCCAGTTGGATTTCCTGAACCAGCCACCCCTGCTGGAATGGCCACACAGTGCTGCCGTGTTTGGGTCTCAACACCTTCAGGCTGGAACCTGCAAGGAAACCTTTCTGGCAACTAATCCCCACACATCATGTTTGGGAGTCCTTTAGGGAACAGCTGTGACCCCAGAAACTCCCCTGCCTGCATGTGTTTTCTCCAAGTGAGCATTCAGACTGCTGCTCTTTCTGCTGTTTTTTCAAATTTTAACAAGTCCTTGGCAACAGAAGTACTTAGCAAAAAAAAAAAAAAAAAGTAAGTGCCCCATTAATGCACTGGAGATAGAACCAGGCTGGAAAACTCCAAGATGGACTGTAATAGCACTGACCATAATGTAAAACCCGTATGTTGAGGAGGCCAGATACCTCTCTGTATCTAAGGCCTTTCAGCTGAAGCGTGTTTTCCAAACTGTGGCAGCCCCAGACATCCCTGCCCATCAGCACCATCACAGCCAGCATTTGCAGGAGCAGCTGCTGAGCGATGCCCTGAAGCTCTGTCTGCATGGCTGCAACACCAAGAGTAGCATGGATTGTCTTGCAAGAATGGAAACTGTGAGAAAGAATGTGGAGGCACAGGAAGTCAGTGTGTCCGTCTGAAGTTTATGGAAGTGCAAGTGCCAGTATGCAGTTCGGGTCTAAAGCAACATTCAGACTGATACTTAAAGTAGTGGTGTGTGTCTTGCCACTTGCCCTTAGTCTCACGGTGTCACAGCTTTTCTGTGCTTGACTCTTTTTCCATACAGAAGAAATGGTGAGGCATTGGAGCAGGGTGGGGAGGTGGTGGAGTCACTGTTCCCGGAGGTGTTTAAGGAAAGGGTAGAAGTGATACTCAGGGACACAGAGAGTGGTGACAGGTGGACTGTTGGATTAGATGGTCTTAGAGGTCTTTTCCCACCTTAATGATTCTGTGATTATTAGAGGTGTGACTGTCCTCCATTAGTGGATAAAAACAGTTCATAGATCTCTTGGGAATTCATAATAGCAAGACCTTTGGATATGGAAGAAAAACTGAGGACTGAGGAATAGGTTCAAAACTGGAATATATTTCTGAAGCCAATTACTGGGAAGAAACTGGGAGTTTTGCCTATGGAGTACAGAACTGGAACTTAAGTTATGCACACTGATTCAACAACTGTGCTATTTTTGGCTTGTGAACTGTTCCAATGGCTGTTTATTTTTAAGGTCATTTTCTGTTTGCATAGCACATACACCCTTCTGGTGGGTGGGAGGCATTATAAAAACAATCACTGCTGCTCAGAATTATGAACTAAACTCGAAGAGGGATGGAAAAAAAACAGAACTTGGCGTACTTACTACTTTAAAAAACATCTGTTTAGGTCAGAAGGTTTGTTGATCCATTCCAAGCTGTGGCCCCACTGGAAAAATCCCATTCTAATTAACATAGACTACCACAGGGGATTGCAAAAGACTTGGGAAAACTCGGATAGAATATAAACAGAAAGGAAGTATCAGGTTTGGCAATTTCTTCCAAAATATTCACCTTCTGGTAGCAAATACAAGACAAGAACGTTCATCTCATGACTGAAGAGATGAATTCTGGATTTTATGCTGGCTGGCCATGCCTGAATCACAGCATCTGTACCACTTCTTTTTTAAGGCTCATGTAAAATAACAACACGCTTCACTGACATATTTTTCTGGCTCCTTCCCAGTGGCCATATCTTTATTCCCACACAGTCAAGTAATACAAATTGATTGGACAGTGGCAGTTTACAAAAGAAATAAGAATGATTATTCTGAGCTTAAATTTAAAAAATCTAAATCTGGTCACGTGGCATTCAATGCCATATTTAGACCAGAAACTGGTAAGGAAATGGCTTATAACATTGACGGTGTACTCGCAGCCATGTTCCTTTCCCAGAAAATAAAATACACCATACAAAAATATACTGAAATTATTAACTGAGTTGGTGGAAATGTCTGCTGCAATATAATTGCTGTTGTCTAATTTTCAGCATATTCACTCCAGCACTACATTATGATAGAAATAAACTGTGTTTATTCAAATATTTGAATTTATTTTGAACTTTTAAGTTCATCTCAAATTAATTTTCTTGTGCTCCAAACCCTGAAGATGCATTAAGGACATTAACTTTGGATTTGCGCAACTAAAACAAGTGAGTGAGCACAGGAGTGTTCAGTTCCTTGAGGTCTTTTTCAGGAAGGGAGTGGGAATCAAAATGCTGAATCTCTTTGATTTTAAAAATTCTAGAAAAATGCCCCAGATTAAGACTTGCTAAAAGTCTTCCCTGGGCAACTCTTGTACCCGATACGCTTGAGGTCATCAACTCTCTAGCAATCTGGTGAAACTGCCTGGTTTTGAGATCTGGGGCTCTGCTCTCGAGTCAGCTGTAGTAAATCTTTTCCTTCTCTCCTTTGTATACACATACCTGTCACTCTTCCCATCCCTCCCTTCCTTGTCAGATATCACAGATATCTGATATCATGATTTCTTTCCATATGAGAGCCCCAGCCCTCTGATAAGCCTCATATGCATTCACAGTGCCATTTCCTTAGTGTTTCCAAAGTTCAGAATTCCTGGTGTAGAAGTCAAAGTCCATGCCTATCTCACCACCCACTGAGGAGAGGCAGGTTTGCACAGCTGCAACAACAATCTCTGAAGTAGATGTAATACCTGTGAAAAGAGCCTGCCCTAGAAGTTCTCTGTTCTTTGCAGAGAGAATGCCTCATAGGAAGCAAAAGCACCAGTTCTCTGCAGAGCCCCATCTGAAGGTCCCGTCACCTCTGAAGGAGGAATTCAACACGAGCAGGCAAGCATATTTCAGCCAAGGATTGCTAGCTCCTTTTTTCTCCCAAGAGTATTATTGCTCCATTTTTGCAGACAGGAAGACTAAGGCACAGAAGGGTGAACTCATTTGGTTCCAGACTGATCTCTAATCTGGTCTCTTCTCTAAGCTGTCACTCTGTGCTTGTGTACATGTGACGTTCTCAGAATGACCTGGGGTAGTCCATGACCTTTGTTCCCCTCACAGACAGCACAAACAGGGGCCAATATCCACCTTCCCAGGCATGGCCTCCGCAGAACGCACCAAGAAGGACATGCATTGGAGGCCAGAAGTTGGCTTCCCAATATTTAAACAGCACCGGTTTTCAAGGAAGTCAGCTATGGAAAGATGACCAAGATACTTCTGAGGTATAAAACTCGGTGTCTGCCGGCCACTGGTCAACTTTGTAATCATCAGACTTGTCACTGTCATCACCACTGGAGGGTTCATAGCCTGGGATGGCAGAACGGTACTGCTCCGGCTGCCGACAGTCAGCCTCCTCTTCCTTCTTCTGTTCTGCCAGCAGCTGCCTGTAGCACAGGTTGCAGACCCTCAGAGGCTTGGGGGACAGCCGGGGCATCAAAAACCTCTGCCTGGAGCAGTCTCCACACACCACAAAGCCACACTTGCGGCAGTGGTGCCTTCGAGTGAGCGTGGAGAACTTGGTCTGTGTGCAGCGCATGCAGATGTCTGTCGCCTTGTCAGGGATCCAGGGGGCCGCGTGCTCTGTGGAGGGCTGCCTGCCCGTCTTTGTCAGCAGGTGCCTGATGCACTCCTCCAGATGGCTGATCCACTCCTTCCTCTCCGTCAGGGAGGCCGCAGAGACCACAAAGGACTTTTTTGAGGTTTTGATCATCCAGCGGTTCTTCATCTGCAAGGTGTCTGGCAGCGTCTCCAAAGTGACATCTTCAAGGGGAATGATGTGCTGGGAATTGTACTTCCTTTTGTTAATCACTATGCTCCCATACACGAGGATGTCATTGAACAGGAAGAATATGCGAGGCTTTGGTTTCTTGCGGCATTCTTTGGTTAAAATCCCTTCTCCCAAAAGGACTCTTCCTGGCACAGCTAAGGGTTGTCCAGAAGCCCCAAAGCAGTTTTCCACAGCAGCAATGCGCTGGCTGTTGATCTCAGTGTTTGCGAGGTGGTCCACCATCTCCAGCTCACCCTGAAGAGAGGAAAATAAAGAAGTGGTGAAGCTGCACTTGGCAGACCACCAGGACGACGCCGAGCAGCGAGCCTGCGTGCAAGTGATAAGCTTCTCATGTCAGTGGAGGTTAAAATAATCTCTTTTCCATTCTTCACATCAATTTATGACCTTTTAGAATTATTTTTTCAAAGTTTCTGACCCCACTTTGCAACAACCTGGTCTGCATTGGGGTGGTTCCATTCACAACAATGGAAGCTCTCTAATACAGAGCCCTCTTTTCCATGACAACCGTGCTTTTTACCAGTATAACTGCATTCCTATACGAAAGAAAGCAGACTGGCCTGAAATACTTCATACACGGTGAGTTTCTGCACTGTGACAGCTGGCGGGGACCAGGGCCAGGCCCTTCTGTCCCTGCCAGCAGTGAGCACAGCTGCACAGGCGCTGTGCTAGTGCTGTGGGCTGGCTGACAATGTGCTGGATGCAGTGCAGGGAGGACATCCGTGGTCTCTGGAGCCAGTCTCCCATTTCTGACTGCACACTCGTTTTCTTGAGGATTAACTGCAGATACACACTGCCCAGAATGCTGTTTTGAGTCAGAGCTGATGCAGACTTTTGGAACCAAACAGAGTGCTCTACTGTTTGTTCCCACTGATCCTCCCTGCATGACAAAATGAAGGAAAAAGGAAGGGAAAAAAAAAAGCAAAAAGGCAGCAGCTACATGAATAAAAAACCCACACAGCCAGCTCCTTCCTCCATTGCCCCAGCTGTGCTTCGGCTGCCTGTGCTTCCAGTTATAAGACACATCGCTCTGAAAATAGCCTGATGTCTGCTGAAAGGGAAGTAGATCGCAGATACTCATCTTTCCCTACACCTCTGCACTCTTGTTCTCACACAGCCCAGGTGCTTGTGGTTTTTTAAAACATACATAAAGGTTGCTCTGAAGCAAAAGCTGATGTTGTGCTACTCATAGCTTGCAATAAGGAAAGTGCTTTAAGTTGTACATTAAATTTTTCAGTGCACCTAATTCCTTCTGAGTTTAATGGTACACCAAGACTATTCAGGCCTAACAATCCACGAGAAAGTGAGTCATTTCCTCTTACAGAGAGGTAGTTCAGCAATCACGAGGTAGCCCACAGATCACAGGGATCTGTGCAGTCCTAGTTTCTATGAGCATTTCAGACCATAACCCATATAGAACCTCTGCCCACATTTTTCTCATCTTTGAATCCTTATAGCCAGACTGTTGGAATGTGGGGGAAAGGGAAGGCAAAGAGAACAACACGCTGAGTTCTGAGTGTTGGAGATGACGATTTACATTCTTGTCTTGCCCTTCACTCCAAATACCCTTCAGAATGCTAGAAGGGAAACCGCAGAATAGCTGTTCGAGGTCACTGTGCACTGTTTATGTATTGCCTAAGCTATTTAACAGGCTGCTCAATTCTCTCTAGTCCCCAGATTTTTTTCTTTAGAGCAGGCCAGCAGTCCCCATACAAAGTAATGGTGCTGGTTCAGCCCTGTGAGGGAACCTGAAGGAAATGACTCTGCATTAATAGCTTTTTGTAAGTAGTGCTGTTTGACCAGTGCTTCTTAAAAGCTGCAACTATCAGGATTTCTTGTTGACACACAAAGGCAGCACCTTCTGCAGCATGGGGCCTGTCTGCAGGATACCGGCATGGCTTCCACCAGCCCTGCTTGCTGCCTGACAACCTTCCCAAAGTTTGTTTTGCAGGAGCTGCTGGGATCTTGGATACGCACACAGCCAGGCAAACCCAAGCTGACATGTCACTAAAAGAGGACAACCCTGGGTGAATCTCCTCCTTGAATTAAAGGCAGGATGCCAAGGCCTTCCAATTCTTCCTGCAAGGACGTGAATCTTCAGGGTCTTGAAGTCCAGATGTGATGGAGCTGGACAGTGTGAAACATACCCACTCGTGTGTGCCCTCCAGTGTGATGTGCAACTTAAAGCTAACTGTAAGGTAAATAGTTACAACAAAAAGCACCAGAGAGATGGAAGCAGTATAAGAAAACATCTTCAGAGGAAGTCAAAGAAGTGAGCAGCTATGTAGTAGAAAAATGTGAAATGTGAAGGAAACAAAAAGCGGTTCCCGTTAAGTGTCACGCTTCCACCCAGAGAGTACCTTCTTCCCTCTGGATTGTTACACATGTAAAAAGCCATGAGTTAACTAAGAAAAGCTAACTCCTTCTTGAGAAAATCTCCCTGCTACAACTAGAAGTGTCATCTGTTGCTCTAGGCCTGGATATTTCCCTAAGGAGTTCTCACAGGGAAGCAAAATAAAAGCTTTTTTCTTCCATTTCTATCCCCTCAGGCGTAATAATGTTCCAGTAAATAAGTGGAGCACAGCAGTAAAAAAAAAAAAAGACTCACATTGCTTAACTTCAGGCTTGGACAACAGTTTCAGTACAATTCTGCACTCCCTGTTCAGCTGTGGGGAGGCAGCCAGCTGTAAGGGGTGGCTCACCCTGTCCCACCATGAGGGAGAGCAGCCCTGCCCTGAATTTCTACACAGCCCATGGCTTGACTAAACTACAGACAGATTCTATGTTACTAGCATGACTCACTGCAGATAGCACTCAGCTCTGCTTTGGAATGGAACTGCTATGTATGGTAGTTTCTGGATAATATGGCTTCCCTTACTATGAAGCATCCCTGCCTTTAGGAACAACAGTGATGTGGTATAAAAAGCAGAGCATAAATTGTATTCTAGTCATTCAGGGTAAATATTTTTTTCCCCTTTTCATCAGGTTTGCTCTGTGACTTCAGCAGGATTGTGCTGCTTGTTACCTAGTGATGCAAATGCACATATGCCTCACATGGTAGGAGAGTGGGAGGATGTGCTTTACTGGCATTCTACTTTACATGGAAGTTTTCAGATGGCAAAGTTCTCTTCCTTTCTTTCTTGTGTCACGATCTGTTGACTTTGCACGTGATCAAACATTATCCAGTTTGTACAGTTGGTATTCAAAGGAAAAATACTATTTCGTCTGCACCCAACTCCACGTGTTTTAACAATGAGAGCTTGTTAACTTGCGAGTACAATTAGCCATGCTGATGCTTGCCAGGCAGCGCTTCGACTTCAGCTCCCGGGTCACTCAGTCCGGGCTGTGCTTTTGAGGCTGAATGCAGCTAAGGTGCAGACAGAGCTGGGAGCGGTTCTACCCGACTCTTCAGCCCCGCAGCCAAACTGAACTGACAGCTCTCGGTATCCGCAATGCACGCCAAACGCCGGCCCAGCTCTGCCGGCACCCGCAGCAGCACGACGCTCCGCGCCTCGCCTCCCTCCAGACCTCTCCGTCCTCCCGGTTCTGGCAGCTGGGAGGCCTCGGGGCCGACAGAAGCTCCTCCTCACCCAGCGCTGAGCGCCCGGGGCGAGCAACGAACGCCGCTCCGCTCCTCCTTCTGCCCGGCTGCAGCTCGCCTCCCCCTCGCTGGTCAGAGCCCCGGGCACCCGAGTGCGGTGCGGACCCAGCTGACGGCGGGCCGGGCTGCACAGCACCGAAGGAACGGCAGCGCACGGCGCACACAGCAGTCACAGGGGGAGCGGAGGCCTCCGACCCTCGCGGTGCCCCCAAGCTCGGGCAGGTGCGAAACGCGCTCCCACGGGCCGAGCAACACGCTTCGTCCCCGCGCCTTCGGCTACGCGCTCGTTCTCGCTAAGCGGAGCGCCTCCAGCACGAGCGAGACGGCTGAGCCCCAGGGCTCCGTGCGGGGCGAGCTGGGCACGCCCGTGTCCCGAGCGGAGCTCACGTAACGCTCAGCGCGGGCAGCGCGGCTGCTCGGGGCGTTCTTTCCCTCTTTTCTTTCTCCCCCGCCTCCTTTGCAGCCCGTCCCGCTCGCCGCAGAGCCGCCGACGGGCGCCCGCACGGACCCCGGCACGGCGCGAGCTCCCGCGCGCCACGCTGCTTTCCGCAGAGCCGCCGTCTCTCTCGGAACGGAGCCCCGCGCCCCTCGCACGAGCCGCCTCCCTCGCGCCGGTACCTCCGCGCTCACCTGACGCCCGTCCCTCCGCCCGCAGCACCGCTGCTCCCCGGCCGCCCTCGCGCCGAGCGGCTCCGCTCGGCGGCCGCCCCGCCCCGCCCTCTCGCCCCGCCCACTCGAAGTCCGCCAGCCAATGGGCGTCGCTCGAGCTCCCCGCGCCGCGGGGCACGCTCCGCCTTTCTGGGCGGCGGGCAAAGCGCAGCGCCGCTGGGAGGCGCTGTAGAGCGACCACGCCGTGACGGCCCGCGGGGGAAGTCGCTCGCGGGCTGGCCGCGGTCACGTGGGGCGGCGGCGGGGCGCTTTGCGCTGGGCGGCGCCTTCGGCTTCGCGGGGCTGCCGGTGAGGTTGGCGGGTAACTGAGGCGCTCGCTGTAACAGCTCTTCTGTTTTTAATGGGCGCCGATGGACCTGCCAGAGTATCAGAAATATGGTTTCTTTCCCCCACATTCCCCTTTTCTCAGGCGGCGGGCAGCTTGCGGCAGCTCGGGGCTGGAGCGCTCGCAGTGCCGCGCTCTGCACCGCTGCGGGCGGTGAGGGGCGGCCGTGGGTCACGCCGCCTCCGGGCTGAGGGGCAGAGCCGCTGCAGCCCCGATTGGCAGCCTTTGGTGTCCTTACCTGGCGCCGGTGCCATCATCTGATCGTCGCCTCCGCCGTTTGCTCCGAAGCCGCTCGTTTAGCGGTGGCAGAACTGTCGTGCCCGAGTCGGGTGCAGCGGTTTCAGAGCAAGTAAAGGGAACTGCAGCCGCTCGGATCAGTCAGCCCGAGGTGAGCTCTGCGGGAGAGAGAACGCCTCGTTGTCATCTTACAGCAGCAAAGTTACCTCTGTGCTGTGCTCCGCGCAATGGTGTGCGTGGAGGGATGGCGTCGTGTCGTCTGGCTGCAGCTGCAATCAGCCCGGCGGCCTGTGGCACACAGCCGTGGGTCTGAGCTGTGTCTCGGCAGCACTGCCGGCACTGTGTGCTTCGAACACGGGCTGCTTCCACGTCTGGCAGTGCACAAATCACAGAGCCGTGCTTGGCTCCATCGGTACGGATCCAAACTGAAAATGTATCCAGAAAATTGCTAGCTCAAATACACTGAAAGCACTGGCAGCAAACCGGGAACTGGTGGCTCCTCTCTGCCCAGCACAGGAGTGCCCACTTGCTGGCTCGTTCCTCAGGGCCCAGCTGCGAGGAGATTGCCAGCAATGAAAATATTGCTGAGAGCAGCCGTGAGACTTGCTTGCTCCTGTCCCCTTTGTGTTGGAAAATGACATACAAGAGAGGTGCTTTGTTTGTACAGCAGCATTGCTGTGTGGTACGTGAGCAGCCACTGATGTACAGCCCAGCTCAGGTCTCCCTGGGACTGTGACAAAAGCTGTGCTGTGCAAGGAGCACAAAAACACTTCCGTGCAGATTCTGAACTATCAAGTTTGCATCATAAACAACCTTGCATTTGCTTGCCTTGTCCTTCCCTGCTCACATCTTCAGCTGTGTTTCTCTGATCATGCACATGTGGTGCTGTACGCAGCCTTTAGGTGTGCTGAACAACCAAAAGTGACCAAGGAAGTCAGTGGCACAGGCTGAATGTAAATGCTGTGTATAAACACATCATAATGAATTGCTCTTTGGTAGGTTGTAGGAAAGAGAAAGAAAGACATCCGTGGATGTCAGTGTGATAAGAAGTGTTTCAAAGTCGTTTTGTCTATGCTGGTGTTTGTGTTGAGCTTTGGCAATTGTCTGCACATCTCTGTTATGAATATTGTCCTTGCTCCTTCATATTCAGTGATGAATAATGATGGTGAAACAAATAGTGGGAATGAAGGATGCTAAGGATCTTCCTGCTAAGCCAGTTTCAGTTTAATAGCTTGCTCTCTTCACAGTAGTCTGTAGTTGTAATCACAGAACTGGTTAGAAGGTCTGATCCAAAGCTTGGTAAGAGTTTTGATTTCAGTGGAGTCTTGGATCAGCATGTAATATGTAATTCTATTTATAGCCACCTTCTTGACTGTAAAATATGGAGGGTATTTTATTTCTAAAATCTTCTTTATATGATGTCATCAGTGTGTGTCGTTCTGCACGGTACTGAGGTCTGATGGAATTTGAAATTTAAAGCCACGAGCAAACCAGATGCACCAGCATCCTCCTGCAGGGCTGGAGCAGAGCAGGCAGCAGGTGGGTCTCAGTGGGAACATGCAGAGTGATGGAGAAGCTGCAGTGGCCAGGACTGTAGGGGCACTTCCCTCACAGCACAGACCTGCATCCCATCCCTGCCTGCCCTGTGTCTCCTCTGGCTGCTTCCCTGTGGGCTGTTGGGTTTATAGCAGTGAGAGCGCTTTGTAGCTGAGAAGTGAGTGTGACAAGCAAGGAAGCAAGGAGTTGTATTGTTTCAGTAGAGAAGTTTCTTTTATCCAGGTTACTTAGGCTCAGGTTTTTTGGGGGGTTGCATTGCTAACTGTGCTTTCTTTCACTCTTAACAGGGTGCGTGCTGGATCGGACATTGTGAGTCTCCAGGTTTCACAGAGGAGCTGCCCAGAAGGGAACTCAGAGCAGAGAAGATTGCTCTGTTCCGTGGAGCTGCAGGGGTGAGTACCAGCAATGAGCGAGCAGTAAGCTGGGTGTGCTGCCCTGACACTGTTTGTGTGTACTGTTCACCCAGTGATTGGAGCAGGTCCTGATTCTAGTATGAAAGGATGAAAGAGGAGGGTTAAAAAGAGGTGAGGTAAGAGTGTGAAATGCCAGAACCATGAAACAGAGCAGGTGTTTGGTGTGGAGACAGGTGTGATGTTGGAGAAGAAACATGTAAAATTAATTAATAAAATTAAGAAAAGAGAGATGTCTAAAACAGCATTTTGCAGCATGCTCCAAGGGAGTACTGCATTTTTGGGTTTCCTAGTAACATAATTCTGTGCACGTTGTTCATCTGAACTCTTCTCCTAGTATTCCTGTTCTGTTTGAACAGTGATCTCATATTCACTGTGTGCTTTTATTGCACAAGATAAACCATGGTGAACAATTAGGTGTTTCAAACAGTAAACTTACATAGATAAGGCATTTCAAATATTAAAATGGAGAAAAAGCAGAGGGAACAAGAATGTGATGATCATCAGTTAATTTAAAGAGATGTAAATGTGTACACCTATGGTTGACTGATAAGTCAAAGACAAAGAGTTTCATTCAGAAACCCCACTTTGTGAGTGCATATAGCTTCTGTTTATGTGATGAACATGCTTTGGTCTCTTTCCTTTGGAAAACTCCTTTGGAACTGCTGCCCAAGCTGAGTGTGTGTGTTGCTCTGAGGGGAAAAATCATCTCTTTGTGAGAGATCCATGCTTTGCCCCACATCAGTGCCATTTGTGCAGGTAAAGAGCTGTCATGGTTGCCTGGGGCATCTTAGGAAGTTCTGTGCACTGAGTGCATACTGCACGGAGTTCTGTGAAAGGAGAAGGAAAAAAAAAAAGTAAAGAAAAAATAAAGAAATATAGTTTCCCTTTGTGTTCTTCAAATAAAAGGGAAAATCAGAAATGCAGTGTTTTCAAGGTGGTGTGCTGATATTGTGGAAAGAGCACGCTTCAGCTTGGCTGGGATCTTTGCCCATTGGCACGTTGGATCTTGAAGTGGAAAGGTGCTGAGCTGAAGGAGGAGCCCCAGGGATTTCTTATGAGATGGAAGGCTTATCTGCTTTTAGGTAATGTCTTGCTGATGAGGTTGTGCAGGGTAGGAAATGTGGCACTGGCCAGAATGCTGAGGGTGTGTGAGAAGGATCTCACCATACGTGTGAAAGTTGTTGCCCACTTGAGAAACCAGAGGGATTTTATGTGATAGGGGTGTGCAGGAGTTGTCCATATGCATGAGCTACCATCCTGCCTTTTTGGGAGTGGTAGGTACCTGCAAGAGTTAATGTTTCCTGAGATGTCTCTTTTTCTGGTATAATGAGATATGCAGAAGACCTTATTTTGTTTTTTTTTGGTTTTTTTTCTTCCAGAATGAAATGCTTTGTCTCTAACCTCAGTCCTGAAGAGCAATTGAGGGGAGGCAGGGGAAAGCAATGCAGTTTGGCTCTGTACCTTTTGGGCTGTCTGAATTCATTAGCTTTGGAGCCCTCCCAGGTGCCTCAGCCTGTGTAGCTCCTCCTGCACCCAGCCTGGGAGACTCTCTTACCACTACTGCATGCATTAGCCTTCATTAATACAATTAGCATAATATCAATTAGGATTCATTATTCCCTACAAAAAGATAAAGCCAGTAATACGTATCTCAGAATCAAATTCCTTAGTGCCTTGTCTTGGGATTGCTTTATTTTGGAGTTGTTTGCCTCTTTATATCCTTCCATCTCCTAGAAAAAAAGAAAGCCACTTAATTTAAAACTGTTTGGGTCAGAGAAATGGCACGGAGATGATTCTTCATGCATGCTAAGGAGGTGAATTGATCTGTGGGACCCACGCGGCTCAGACACCACTCAACAGTCGGAACTGCGAACTTCATCTTCTTCAAGCACAAAAGCTACTTAGTTTCCCCATGTTGAAGACTTTTTATAATAGCAATAAGACAACTCTAGAGAGAACCATCTAATATTAACTCCAGGGAGTAATCATCTAATCACAATCTGGGGGTGATTTGAAGCACTCATCTGGACCAAATGCCTCACAACACCCCAGGAGTGGTTTTATTGCATGATAGCAGTACCCCATTGAGCCTTATTGCTTAATTAAAAACAAATTCCCAAGTAATTTTTTTGCCTTTCCATAAAAACACAGTAGTACATAGCATGTATAAAACATCCATTAAATGATGGTAGATGCAAATTTACATTGTGAGATACAATGCTTTTCTTTACCACTTGGGGTTGAAGTTAAATGTAAAACCATTTCCTATAATCTGTGCACTGCTGCGTTTAGAGAGGAATAAATATGGGAAGAGAAGTTCATCGTAGGATGCCTTGTTTTTATTAAGTGATATGTTTGGTCTCCTTACAAAGCAGTTTGGTTTCCCGTCCATCTTTCAAACACAGCAGTCTACCAGCAGCATGGCCTTTGCTGCCTCCTCCTGCAGGCTGCCTCAGCTCCCAGTCCTCTTCCAGTGCACATCTTCAGTAGGAATCCCAA